GCAGAAACAAATACAGTTGGCCCCAACAAATCAAGTGACTGATTTAGGTATTTAACTGTGGGACCTACCATCGTAACTTCTGTGTCTGTTTGAATCTTCACTGATTAGATCAGATTTTAGAGTTTGGTCCTTACTTAGTTTTATAATCATTACAAATGTTTTCTGTAATGGACCTCGCTTCTGCATTAACTCCAACAACATAAAACAAGATTGTCTTGTTACAGTATTCAGGTTTTTCTGACTGCAAACTGCCAGAAACGATGGGTTTAGGAGTTTATGTTTCTGGGACATGCTATTATACTGTACAAGGAGAAAATGGGTCCGTCATCTACTTTGAATTATGCCATAATTCAAGTGCTACTGCACTTGACTTGACTCATTTGGCAGAGCTTTGTGATTATGTTGTCAAAATTCAGGATGACAAAGTAATGTTTCTTTAACCGTCAAAAGAGTATGATACAATTAAATACAACAGCAGCAACAAGCTGCATACAGTATGTAACTTTGCATGCACTGTACATGATATCCCTCCTGCTCCCCTATAAAATGCATACAGTTAAGTACAGTTGGCTATTTAAAAGCAGCATAAATCAGATAATATGAAGAAGCATAATCATTTGTAATCACTGTAATCATGGTTGGGGTCCCAGGACTTCAAATGGGTCAGGTTGGGTTCAGATTAATTTCTTTAAGGGTAACGGGCTACAGGTCTGAAACCTGTGCAGGACTCTGGTTTAGATGATCTGTATATGCATCATGACAGGAAATGTAATGAAATGAAAATCTTCATTCTGTTAATTAGACTGATGAAGGTTAATTACACTTTGCCGGAATTTCCCCTGGGCCAATCTTCTTTAGATTTACATCAAGGATAATTTACAAGATAAGTGATGAAGTACCAAATTAACAATGATTACTCTTTTCTAAATCATACCTTGAGGAAAAATGCATTTATTTGAATTTTATGAGGATACAAATACACACAAAGAGAGAACAAAAGGCAGCTGTATATAGAAGGCTACAGTACATAGTACACATATGATTTACATAATTGTTTGTGCAGATCTTAGTAATGATTGAATATATTATTTAGTGTGAGTGCAGCTGGAGAAAAAGAGAGAGCCTCACTCAGTCTTCACATCATTATTCACACATGCACATATGTTGATGATACCATTTGCACACAATCAGTTTGATACTGTAAAACTCACAGTTTACCCACTTTCTTCACTCGTCAGTCACGTAATCAATCACTCTTGTTTTTTCCTCACCATCTTCTCCTCACTCCCACGCTCTCTCCCTCCTCCATCCATCCGTCGATCTCAAGTGGTAGAGTGGTTCATGTTATTTCCATACAGTTTGCTTAATGTATGCTGATGATAATAGCCTATCGACCTACTCCTCCATACATACATACATTTTCCTCCCTCCATCCATCCTCTGTTCAGACCGGAGGGAGCTGCAGACCAATGAGAGGAGGGGTGGGGGCGGGGAGTGGAGGGCCACTTGATTGAGTGCTGATGGTAACAGTCATCAGCATTCATAGAAAAATAACTTTGTTTCCCGCTGATTTGTAACATGTCCATTTTTTACATTAAAATCATTGATATGATTGTATTGCAAGGAAGTTTAATTGCAATCACAAATCCTCTGAAACTTGAGTGGGCCTATTTTGTAAATGATAATGTTACTTAACTTAAAAATCAGTGGTACTAGTTACTCAGATGTGAATATTTGATGGTGTTCTCTGTTTTCTATGGTACTAAATTGAATATTATTGACTTGGTTGGTCAAAACATGCTATGTAAGACATTATGTAATATTTATGTATGTAAATCTAAGACATCTTCTACAACATAAAAAAGCCACATTTATACTATCTATACTGATCAATAGTATCAATAATAAAATATGCTAGTATTATTGCTAGTTGTATGCTATATTTATAAATTGTCCACATGGAATACACAGTGAGGGAAAAGACTTAAAAACATTAAGGCAGCAAAATGATATTTTAATGCGAACAAAAAAATTAGATTGGCCAAGTTACCTATCTACATATCCTCTGAATAATTCATAAGTCATCATTTACTTCAATGGTAATTTACAAAAAAAACATATATAGGTATTACATAAATAAATGCTTAAACAGACTCAAAAGTGGATATATAATTTGAAAGGTAAGATGAATCAATTTGTTCAGTATTTTAATAGAATTTGGCCACTACCAGCAGTGGGTCAAGTGGTGTGCTTTTTTGACCATAAGCCATTAGCTCTTAGCTTTTGTCATTATCCACCATCATCCATCTGCTATTAGCTATTAGCCTGCCTGCATTATTTAGCTGCTCCTCACACACTGGAAATGACTGAACCTTCTTGACAGAAAAGTCTATCGTGTTCGGGAGAAATGTTACTGGTCAGCAGTCTTTAGTGCCCTGAGGGATCTGTTGTATTGACCTTAAGTAACCATAAGGCAACTATGGTAACTTTTCCCATTAACTTTCCATGTTGTTCTCAAAATGTGGCCATGACAGGGGTAGCAGCATTTTATAATCATTTGCTGCTTTAACAAACATATAGAACCTTGTAAAGTGTGTGGTCCCTGAAGCATTTTGGGAAAAGCAAGACAAGGATGTAACTCTTACATCATGCCTTTTCATTTTTTTGTCTTTCCCAACTTTTTTGACAAAAGGAGCTGAGACAAGCTTTTTCCTCCCCACCACAACACAGTTATCTGTCTGTTACTCACACACACACACACACACACACACACACACACACACACACACACACACACACACACACACACACACACACACACACACACACACACACACACACACACACACACACACACACACACACACACACACACACACACACACACACACACACACACACACACACACACACACACACACACACACACACACACACACACACACGCACGCACACAAAACAGTTGAACTGTATTTACAGCCCAGCACTTTGTTCCGCACTACCAATATTTCACTCACTCCAGGGTTTAATAAACAACAATATGTTACCACAAAGACAAACATAAAAGGAACATACACAAACATAAAAGCACACATAATTTAAAGCTGCTCGCACACACAGTAAATGTGCAAACACACACACACACACACACACGCGCGCGCACACACGCACACAAAACAGTTGAACTGTATTTACAGCCCAGCACTTTGTTCCGCACTACCAATATTTCACTCACTCCAGGGTTTAATAAACAACAATATGTTACCACAAAGACAAACATAAAAGGAACATACACAGACATAAAAGCACACATAATTTAAAGCTGCTCGCACACACAGTAAATGTGCAAACACACACAATCACACTTAATATAAATCCAATATCGCTGTGACAAATGGCCTCCAGAGCACAATAAGAAAATCAGCTCGAACCAGCCTTAAGCTAACAATCCCAGCAGACATGTACGGTGACAAAAGCTTCACATTATAGACACACACACACACACACACACACACACACACACACACACACACACACACACACAAAACAGTTGAACTGTGTGCATTTTGTAAGTCCTTGTTGGTGTGTTTGTATGAACTATGTAATGCATATATTCGCCTAATGTCTAAACAGTGATTTAGCATGAGCTCGCAACAATGGACTTGTAGCTTGTTTTGCAGTCTCACGCTGCTGACACACTTTTACATCACCATGGTAACCTCAGCTGCAGAGATAGCCTACTCTGGCAGAGATTGTTCTGGATTAATAGTCTGACGATCCCTAAATCGGGTCATGTACTTGTTTCCAGGCATTTTACCTTTTTTGGTCAGGAAAAAGGAGGGCTTCTTTTGAGCAGCATGCAGCTTACATTAGTTTATAAGAAATATCTCTGAGTTCATTTTGATTTTGCATAATGAAGAGATACCCAACCATAAAACCCTCACTTTATTAAAACAGCTCTTAACAAAAATGCTTTTTTTGTATTCTTGCAGATGACTGATGAAGTTTGAAAGGACACAATGGGCGGTAGATATTAGGTTTTAGTGTCGGTTAATCAGAAGTGAAGTCTTTTGTCAAGATTAAACAATGATACAAGAAGAAATCCATTAGAGAAGAGGCAGATTTACAGTGGCTCGAGTGGTTCATGTTGTGTTTTGGCACAGTTTTTGTTTCTTTAATGCTGGCACCAAAGATGACACCATATATTTTTTTATATATCTGTTGTAATTTATTGTCTTTTATTGTGATTGTAGTAATGTGTTTTTATTACATGTACAGCACTTTGGCTCGACCAAAAATCGCTTTAAATGTGCTTTATAAATAAAACTTGATTTGATTTTGATTTGATTTGACCATTCAAGAGGCATTGCTGTATGCATCTACAGTGGTGAAAGGTTTCATTTGGCTCACTTGTTCCTGAAAATGAACATCTCCAGTGAGGCACTTCAGATAATTTATTCATCCATTTTCTGTTCCTGCTTATTCAGAGTCACATTGGGCAGTTTGTCACAGCACACATAAACACATTTACATTCACCCAAGTGCAGATTACCCTAGATCACTTGCATGTTCTTGGCCTATGGGAGGTGACTAAAAGCAAAGCAGACAAGATATCACAGAGATGGTTGGCTTATTAAAACCCATAAGTCAGAGGAAAGGAAACACATTGGTAAAAATAATGAAAACAATCACACTGCAGATTTCGCAGAGGTAAAAAAAAACAGTCTACTGTAGGTTTAATTACAGTTTTCTTTGTTCATAGTTGCTGCATAAGTATTAATAATCTTATTGGTTAAATAAAAAAATCAATAAGGGACCTTTTTTGTTGTTGGCCCAAAGCAGATAATGACTACAGCACATTGTGTGTATACTGAATGTGAGTGTGAGAGGTTGAGTCAATACTAAATTATTATAATGAGCTAAGATTTCTGAATTTGAAAACTCCCCCCCCCCCCCCCCCCCCAGCCCTGATCTAGTACAATGTTTTGTATATCTTGCAGCTCGCTCAGGATGAGGGCAGCCCCGTCCGAGGCTTTGGTGTGGTGGAGTACGAGAGCGCGGAGCAGGCAGAGGCCGTGCTGATAGAGATGGACCGAACTCTGGTGGGAGGACAGGAGGTCCGGCTGTCCCTCTGCAGCCCCGGCACCACAGGGAGAAGCACCCTGGCTGCACTCATCGCCGCCCAGGGTATGGTGAGTATTGATGCACTCAGCTTTTTATTTTATTTTGGAAAACATTGATTTCCTCCATAGAAACATTTCCCTCAATACTCTTTATCACCAAAACATTGGATTTTTCAGGCATATAAACACATGAGCAGACAAAATATCTCTTCACTTTTTTAAAAGTTCCTAGTAATTTGCTTTTTACTAGCCTTAGATTGATTGATGGAAATAAGAAGACATGCTGATTGTGATCTAGCGCCAACTGGTTTTTACACATACATCGTTTGGATTTACAAATAGAAGATATTCATATACAGTATCCATAAGGACACATTTTTATAGTGGTCATCAACCAGTCACAAAAAGTAGTTGACTAATTGAGATATCATATTCTTTTCACCAAATAACAGTGATCGACACTCATCAAAAGGTCTGTAATAAAACCATTAAAGGAAAAGACCCTCTTGGCTCTTAGAGGCCGTTTACAGATGAGCCAGGATCAGATTGGACAGAACCACGCAGGCTTGTGTGAGCTGGAGATATTGTTGGCCTGAAGTAAAAGCACATTAGCTGACTACAGGCTGACTAGCTGACTTATCTGTTAAAACTCTGGTACACATGTAAGGTCTGGCTGAAATCATTTTTGTCATTTTTGTATCCCTCCTACGCTGTTCTGTGGCAGCAGAGAGGCACTGACGTGATAATTATAGTTCTATAGACTGATTGGGCTCTTCCACCGTCTCCTGCTGCCTAAAATACAACAAGTCTCGGCACAGTTTGACACTCAAACACACAGTCATTGAAATAAATGCAGCAAAATTGCACAGGATGTAAATACAAGTGATCAGTTCTGGAAAATGATCTGTAGGTGTTACTCTTCATGAGTACATTTTGATTAAAGCAAACATTTCACCTTTTTGCAATCAAAATCAATTGCAGATGAGTGTGATAAATGGTACATGATATAAAAAACTGTTCGCCAAGTCATTTGTATAAACTCAATATATAAAATGATTAAAACAAATATTTAAGATTACATTTTCTTGAGGGTAAAAGATGTAAAAACATTATGAAAGCAGGGTCTTGTTGTCACTGTGTTTTATCAGTACAGTAAATACATTATGATATCATTACGATCCATTTTCCTATTTTCTTTCATCTTCACATGGAGTCCAGTAAAATATCATGATCAAAATGAATAATGGCACTCATTCACCATCTAAAGGTGGCTATAGGCACAAATTACCTTTTCACATGAAATCCAGCTTTATGTTTTATTATGGGTTACATACTGTATAGGGCCAATACAGCTTACTCTCATGTGGGGATAACATGTAATATTACACTTATTCAACCTATAGAGGGCTACCATTAGAAGTCATCAGTTGTTGCTTTAAAAGACCCAAACTGCTGACGATAAATTTGACACAGTGGTTCGAACCAGTGTGCGAAAATGTGTTCATTCTTAATCTCAAATTGCTACACTACCATCATCCTGCAGTATTCTCTGTGATTTTATCCCCGACTGTTGCAGAGCAAGAATTATAAGTCGCCGCTTAAATAGGTTGTGCCCTTGAGATGAATGTGTTGAAAATTGCAGGTTGAAAAGCAGAGAAGGTAGCGGTCACAGAGTGCGATTGCAACAAAGATAATAATGAAATATTGTATAAGCAGAGGAAAACAAGGCTGATTTGAAGAGGGAAAGAGACATTCAGAGACGAAAGGATTGGTTAAGAAAGAGACCAGAAAAGGGAAGCAAGAGAAAGAGAGACAGAATAGGTTTGAGAGGACTGCAAGGTTACATTCGTACCCCCAGGCTCCTTTTAGGATTATTGCAGCGAATGTGAGCAGCTGGTAAAGGAAACATCAGACCTTCAGAAAGAGATCAAGACCTACTCCTGGCTACAGTTCTCCTCTGAGGCGATTTTCCAGTCAGTGAATGCGAGTGTGAATGCTGAGGACCAGATGGCCTTCTCCTCCCTCCTCTTCTTCTCCCTCCATCCCTCTCCTTACGCGACATTTCTCGCCTTCTCTTCTTCGCGGCTCCCATACCTCCCTGGCTTGTGTATGTGTGTGAGTGTGAGTGTGTGTGTGTGTGTGTGTGTGGGTGTGTGGCTGGGTTTTGTGCCAGCAGCTAAACAGACTGATGCACGCTGACATTTTCTCCAGCAAAGAAAAAAGAAATGGGAGAGTGCTCCTACTCTCCCTCCTCTCTCTATCTTCCCTTGCAAGACGCTGTCAGCTACGACTGGCCTTGTTCGACGCACACACACACACGCCAATGTCTCTGCTGTAATACACAAATACACATACTGTATGTTTGCACTAGTCTCTTCCCCAATTGCTGACAGTGAGTCAGACCCGCTCCGTCCCCGTCAGTAATGCTCTCTCTTCAGGATGTGACGGGGAGGAAACAAGGTTGACTTGAGCTGAAGTCTTGCTGTAGCTCGAGGGCAGACGAGGAGGAAATATCACCATCCTGCTAATGTTGTTTTAAATAGCCGTGTCTTTGGGCCAGACATCGAGTCCTGCCGTCGCACTATCAGGGCTGAAGAGGATCTAGAAGGGCTGCTACATTCAATTTGATGCAGTCTAATCCAATAGGATTTCATTTGAGTCTGTTGAATTACATTTTGCAGCGTAATAACGAGTGATTTCATTTATTTGGGGACGCGCCTTACAGTATTTATTTCGATTAAATGCTGAGGTCCTTTCAGTTCCTGGAAATGCAGGTCATTTCAAATGAAATGTAAGCTATATTAGCAACAGGGAAAACACACAACATGTGTGATAAGAAACATCAGATACACGATGCAGCTAGCTAAGGCAAGGCAAGTTTATTTATATAGCACCTTTCAACACAAGGCAATTCAAAGTGCTTTACAAAAATGAAAGACATGTAAGGAGGGGGTTGCCTTTCCCCTTGTTAGCAAGATTACCAAAAGACAGTAGTACTGATAGTTCTGCACACTGTACACTGAAAGGAAGATATATTATTGTCTTGATTGTGCATTTCCTCGAAGTGATTTCTGTTTTCACACCTCAGCAAGATTGTGGTAGATTGCCACGCTTACAGAAAAAAGTCTCAAGGTGTTTTCTGAACATGATGTAGACATATCGAATTAGCAGAGAAATAATAAATTAGTATTTGAAATGTGGCCTTTACTTGTTTACTCTCAATTCTTCTTCTTCTGCTTTGTTTACCACACCTCGTTGTTTCCTGTCTCTTTCCCCCCCCATGCTGTTTCCCACACAGCTCTGTCTCCTTTATTTGTGTCTCCCAGATTGTTTCCCCTCTGCTGACATCGCAGACATATCCTGCTGATGTAAACTAGTGTAATGATTACTACAGCCATCAGGGACTCCTAATAATAAGATCCAAACGTTCTGTTCACCACACAGTCTCTTTTTCTCTTATGTGTGTATTTTGTTTTGTTTTCCAGATTCTGAGTAACAGGAAAGGTCTGCTACCAGAACCCAACATAGCTCAGCTGTTGACCAGCATGACGAACCCCGCTGCCCTGCAGATCCTCATGAGGCCGTACCACACCGGGAAAAGAGGAGGTATGTGATAACTGTGCACAACGGTTTGATTCTAGCAATTATCATGATATCACACAACAATCCATAATCTCAGGATTGAGGAAGATGCGGGTATGATTAAGGTGTGTGTTAGTTAGACTGTGATTGACAGTGATAGACAGACGGTTTATCCTATCACCTGCCAAGTATTTTTTTTACATTGTCTGTACTTTTTCAAACACTCGAATGACAGCTTGTCAGATTCTCTTTAACAAAAACCACCTGTAGTATCAGGTTTGCCTAGATATAGGTCTTATGACGAATACCCAATAATTTCTGATGTACATACATTATTTTTACAAAGTCTGAATTTATAATATAGCCATTTTTGTTTTCATAGTTTCCCACCGAATTAAACATAATGACCTTCATCAGACAATGTCGTTGTATGTTCAACACCTTGGGCTATTAGTGTGCAGCAACCTTGTGCTAGTTAGCCCTGACATACTTTTTTCAAGTTCTATGCCTTTTTGTTGGAGGAACTCTTAAGTGCCACACACCTTCACAACCATTCACATGACCTCCATGCTAAATTTGAGCCTGGAAGATTGAAAACTTGACCGCCAAATGGTATAGTAAATTACTTTACAGGGTAGAAAATGATGAAGAGGCTATGAAATCACGTATGCTGCGGAAGTCTGATCATACAGCTAGACACACTCCCTTATGGTGTAAATCAAACCTTTAATTGAACCTGATACTTAATCAAATAAGCATGTACGCTGATTGAAAACTTTTACATTTTAAAGCAAATCACTGCCCTGTCGTTTAAGCAGTCTCTTCGCATCTTAGATAATATTCAGAGTCCCACAGTAAAAGTGTGACCCTGTGTTAGGCCTTCTCATATACTGTAATCACCTCTGCTCCGGCTTCATTATTTGATGAATGACTAATCTGGTATTAAAATGAAATCGTGTGACATTAGTGGAACAAATGAGAACAGGAAGGGGAGAAGATGGGGAAGGCTCTCTTAAAAAAGAGCACGCACAATTAAAGTCTAAAATTAGGGCCTTGATTAAATGTTAAACTTTTTCCAACTAGTCTGGAAGAAGCTACAATTAGCATTGATGCTTACATTTTTCATGAGGAGGACTTCAGAAAAGGAAATCACACAAACGCGTAAGAGAGGGTGTGTGTGTAGGTGTAGGGTGGCATTGCCGGAAGCTGAGAGAAGCCTGATATAAATCCCCAAAAGATAAAATGTTTTTTAAGTGTGGGAATATTTGCACACCATCCTTAATTTTTTAACAATGTACACACATTATTTTTCCATTCAATAAACATATGTTCTGCAGCTTAAAAGCAGCAAGCCACACTAGTTATAATCAATCAGCCAATGCAGAAATACTCCATGGTGTTCAGTAAACAAGAGGTCAGATTTTTCTCTGTCCGCTGCTGATGATTATTCAACGTTTTTTTCCACTCAAGTATTCAGCATTACAAAGAGAACTACACTCGCTGAAACAGTTGCAACAAAGCGTAATGTGGCGATGCTTCTTCTTCCCCCAGACTTGATCTGCATCATCAGAAGAATGAAACTGTTGTTTATTCATTACTTGATTGTTTTAGGAAGAAAAGACAATTCTTGATGCACGAACATGCACAGCGCTAACAATTTATTTACATTCCTCAGCAGTCAGGTTTTCTCTATCAAAGCTTCAGTGTCAAACCCACTTTAAAGAGAGGTATAAACCAGCTGTTGTCCCAGGAGTGAAACTATATAAACCGGATTGGAACACTTTAATTGGACAAATTCAATTAGAGTGAAAATTATGAAATATCATGAACAAGAATATTGCAAACATAAATTGAACTGTAGCAAACTGGAAAACGATGCATAATGTATCTGATGAAGAACCGTATCATCAGTGGAATATCAACATTAGGCCACTGTAGGAATCACAACATAGTAATATGTTAAACATGCACGAAGAGTCTTAAAGAGTCAAAATAAAGAGATTAACTGTAGAGCAATGTTCCCCAAATTGTGAAAAACAACCATTGAAATGCTGAAGCTCAGGGCTGTTATTTTCTTTTTAAGGAAACTGTCAATACACTTACAAAATAATTCAGGATTTTTCTGCTTCTCTTCTCTCTATTGATTACTTTGTTGTTTGTTTGTGCTTCTTTTCAATTGCATCATACACACCAGAAAAAGTTATGAGGGAGGCAATTTGCTTGCTCCTAACATAATATCCCAATATTGCTTTACTTGTGCCTGTTATAAAACAGACAGGTGCGTTTTTTTTATGTGAAATGGATTGAGTGTCTGACTAATATACTGTCGTTAAGATGACAAAGATTGATTAATGCATTAGTGGAGACCAAAATGTATAAAAGAAAATCACAGAAGAGCAATGATTGATGTTTTTATATTTTAGGGAAATACGGGCGTCACGCCAGCCTGCCGTTCCTCAGACCCCCTCTCACCACTGCTCTGCTCACACTGGGAAAAGCACACCAGGTCAGAATAACAATAACGTTGGTGTGGGATATTTTAGTGTGTGTTGATGTGTTTGTTACAATAATGTCTGTTTTTCTTTGCCTTGCAGAATGCTTTGCTTGGTAATGGACTTGTCCTCCAGAACCTTTTGCATATGCAGCTCGCACAGCAACAGCTTCTTCACATCAAAGACAAACGCATCAGCAGCGTAAGACGTGTGTGTGTGTGTGTGTGTGTGTGTGTGTGTGTGTGTGTGTGTGTGTGTGTGTGTGTGTGTGTGTGTGTGTGTGTGTGTGTGTGTGTGTGTGTGTGTGTGTGTGTGTGTGTGTGTGTGTGTGTGTGTGTGTGTGTGTGTGTGTGTGTGTGTGTGTGTGTGTGTGTGTGTGTGTGTGTGTGTGTGTGTGTGTGTGTGTGTGTGTGTGTGTGTGTGTGTGTGTGTGTGTGTGTGTGTGTGTGTGTGTGTGTGTGTGTGTGTGTGTGTGTGTGTGTGTGTGTGTGTGTGTGTGTGTGTGTGTGTGTGTGTGTGTGTGTGTGTGTGTGTGTGTGTGTGTGTGTGTGTGTGTGTGTGTGTGGTGTGTGTGTGTGTGTGTGTGTGTGTGTGTGTGTGTGTGTGTGTGTGTGTGTGTGTGTGTGTTCCATGTTCCATGTTCCATCATTTGCATAGGTTAGTGTTGAGGGTTAAACATAGTCGTGGGCATGTTCTTATGTGCTCTTACATTTTCATCTTCAGCACTTAAAGCATAATGAAACTAAACAACCCCCTGAAAACACGCATCCTAATTGCTTCCTCTCTGTTTTAAAAAGAAGACCTTGAGGTGTTGAAGTTTCCCTCTTCTTTTGATTTGCATATTTTAAAATGTCTCTGATGTTTCCTTTAATTGCTGAAGTGGAAGTTAAAAGACACCGTAGCCGATGTTTCAAAAACTGGATTCATATTCCAGAGAAGGAGAATACTTTTCTTTTAACCTGCATCAAACCCTTACTTTTCATTGGGTATATACTTCATTGTACCTCATATACCTCTGCACTGTTACAACAGTGCAGAGGTATATGAGGTACAATGAAGTAGAGATTGTACAAAAAGATTGTACAAAAGGAGAACTATAATGATAATTTAACTGTATACATAAAACACAACATCCCTTCCACTGACTTTTCTCTTATGGCCTCCTCTCCTCTGCGCAGGTCTCCAGTCTGCTCGGGGACCCGTCCCGGCTGCTGATGCAGAAAGCGTTGTCTATGCGGCCTCCAGGCCTGGTGCCGCTGGGAAAAGGCCTCCTGGGAGACTCTCCTACTGGTGAGCAGGCGAGCATCCGCTCCAGATGACTGGGTGTCATTACTTCAAACACATAAGACCATAGTGAGACCGGCAGTACGTCTCTCACCAGTGTTTTGTTAAATCAAACTCCCCTAGTTATCTTCTTCAGTCATCTGCTGTTCAAGGGCATCTGGAAACTTGTGATTAATCGGCTCTTCAATAACAGCACCTTATTTCTGTATCATGCTGTTAAACAAAGCAGCTTCTGAGTGTCGCTACTTACTTATTATTTATACCCAGGGCTCAAAATGAATGTGGTAATGATTTATTGACTTTGAAATGTAGGTTTAACTTGAACTTGTGGCTATTTAAAATGAGATCTTTACAAGGAAATATAAATCAAGTTTATTTAAAACCATTCTAAGCAGACTTTATGGGATTTAAATGACCGACCTTGTGTATACTGACCCACAACTGAACAGGGCTTACGATGTGTTGACTATACATGGGCATAGCACATGAAAGAGATCTACTATAAACTGAGACACGCTATTTTTTGTAAAATGGGTGTAATAAAAGCAATTCACCTTTCTCTAATGCTTCAGTGTGTTAGGGCTGCACACATATCGAATGTAACATAACAAAAGCCCAGTATCCCAGAGAGTATTTATATTTTCTCGGGTATTTCTCACTGTCATTAAAGGACCCAGTCAACCTACAGAAGTGTTAAAAAAGAATTTGATATAAAGCAGCTGGGAACGGAGCATTTTTTAACAATCAAAGGATGTGAAATGCTATGTCAAAGACATAAGCAGTTGTGTGTTCGTGCACTGATGTATATGTGTGTTCCTCTTTGATTGTGTGTGTGTGTGTGTGTGTGTGTGTGTGTGTGTGTGTGTGTGTGTGTGTGTGTGTGTGTGTGTGTGTGTGTGTGTGTGTGTGTGTGTGTGTGTGTGTGTGTGTGTGTGTGTGTGTGTGTGTGTGTGTGTGTGTGTGTGTGTGTGTGTGTGTGTGTGTGTGTGTGTGTGTGTGTGTGTGTGTGTGTGTGTGTGTGTGTGTGTGTGTGTGTGTGTGTGTGTGTGTGTGTGTGTGTGTGTGTGTGTGTGTGTGTGTGTGTGTGTGTGTGTGTGTGTGTGTGTGTGTGTGTGTGTGTGTGTGTGTGTGTGTGTGTGTGTGTGTGTGTGTGTGTGTGTGTGTGTGTGTGTGTGTGTGAAGCTTTTGTCACCGTACATGTCTGCTGGGATTGTTAGCTTAAGGCTGGTTCGAGCTGATTTTCTTATTGTGCTCTGGAGGCCATTTGTCACAGCGATATTGGATTTATAATAAGTGTGATTGTGTGTGTTTGCAGCTTTAAATAATGTGTGTTTTTATGTCTGTGTATGTTCCTTTTATGTTTGTCTTTGTGGTAACATATCTTTGTTTGTTAAACCCTGGAGTGAGTGAAATATTGGTAGTGCGGAGCAAAGTGCTGGGCTGTAAATATACATGATAAGCGATGATGTATGAGCAGGAAACTGACTCTCAAACATTACAACTGGCTCTGCAGAGACGGTCGAGCTCTCAGTTTCCAGCCTGTCTGAGTGATTCGTCTCTGTCCAGGAGACAGAGACGCTGATGGTCATAAGTGAAAACAACTCGAGTGTTTATCTGGCAAGTTGATTGCAGCACTATAGCTTAAGCTACATTTCCACTGGAGAATAAAGTGACTTTTCTTATCTGATCCTTGCTTTCATTTCACTCACTTTGCCTCTCTATTTTATGCGTCTTAACCAAACTATTTTCCTCTTGTTCCCTTTACTTTTTATTGCTTACCACCTTTACCTTTCCTTTCCGTCAGTCTTCTCTTTCATTTCCTGTGTTCTTACCTTTCTTTAACTTGACTTTTTGCTTCCTTTTTTCCTTTTTTTCTTACCTTTCTAAATTCTAACCTCATCAAGCATTTCCTTTCGCAAATGGTTTTTCCCCCCTAACTTTCCTTTCCTCTTCTCTTTCAGAGTTGGGCCAGGAGTCTACCCACAATGCCTCAGTAGTGGTATCTGCAGCAGGTGTGGTGCCATACCTCCAGGGTCGAGCTGGAGATCAAAACAGCAACCATGCTATCTCCACACACCCTTCTGCTTCCTTCTCCTGTGACAGGCAGCCCGCTCCCCCTGGGACCCTGGGCGGCTGCCACCCCCAGGGACAGGGCTACTCCCTGGGCATCACTCACTCAGGCCTCGGCCCGCCTCCACCCAAACCTCCAGGAGGGGTTTATACGTCAGCAGGCCAGCACAGCAGCTCAGATGGCTGCCCCCTGGCTAGCATGGTGAGCACAAAGACACACACACAAAAAAAGGTGTCTTACGCTGCTGATGCGTTTTTCTTTGAAGTGAAGAAGCTGTTGATGTGCGAAATGTATAAGGCAGAGAAAATGTGATATTATTGTAACAAACACACACTAAAAAAATCCCACACAGTTTAATGGTTATTCTGACCTGGTTTACTTATCTATTTTTAAATGCTTTAAAACATATGTTAATCAGTGTTTCTGATTCAAACTGATGTAAAACAGGCAACGTTATGTTTTACAGTGTTTCACATTTCACAAAGAGAATCTTGTGAAATGTTCCAAATATGATAATGATGGCTGAATTATTGTTGCCCTTTGGACTTTACAATGCTCTGGAGGTATTGTAATTGTTTGGATCATACAGGTCAAAAACAACACTAACCCTAGACCACTACGCAGCCACAAATGGAAGTGATGCTGCCAGTTGTATCATACAAATAATATTACATTGCCTAACATTACATTGTTTGGATTTGCAGGATTAAAATCTTCTTCAAATGTAATAATAAGGTAGCACACATTTTATAACATTTGCATGTTTTTTTATGAGTCGCAATGGGCGTTTTCACAATTTCATGAAATGTTATAGATACACCGAGTTAGAAAATAATGAAGCAATTTGTTTGTTGCAGTCCTTCACTATTCTCTCTCTCTACCCATGAACTACAGTATGTGGTACTTATTCCTGATTTAGCCTCATCAGGGCTTCAAAACACACACAGTGAGTGAGTGTATGAATAACAGCCACAGTCCCTTAAGGGCTATTCTTTTGGGAAATTCCCATAATGCACTTCTGTCTCACACATATTTACTAATACAGGAAGAAGCTGTCTTCCTGCTGGTTAACTTTTTGCACTCACTGAATACCTGTCTCTCTTCGTGCTCCTCTAAATCTCTTTGCCTCCGCCTGGTTTAAATAAAGCACTGCTATGCCAACGTCATTATCCGTAATACGTTATTGCACAGAGATAATCACAGTGCCAAAGTTCTTCGGGGAACTGATTCCTGTCCCAGCACTGTCTTCTCTAAAGAGTCTTTAATGGAGGCAAAGTGTAATTAAACAGAGTCCAATCCTCCCAGGTTTCCACAGCATCTTCAGCCACGTAATTGCAAAATTAAAAAAGCTTAATGTCCAGGTTGGTGTGGTTGAAACTCCAATACAACATGTGGATATAAAGGATGCAAAACTGATGGATTAGAGGTTAAAGGAATGTAATTTGCTTTTGGACTTGCAGCGTGAAGTTTCCATTGACCTGAAAACCTGCTAACTGCATCGTAAATAATACAATTTGTATGTGTTTAGGCAAGCAATGGCCAGGGCTCTCTGTTGGGTGATCCTCCTAAAGAAGTCCGAATGCCCTCCAATCCCTACCTGAACCTGGCCAGTGTGATGCCGGGAGTGGTTCTGCAAGGTGAGCTCACAAACATTACACATTTTCCAGGTAAAGGGTCTATTCTGAAAAAAACTATTTACGTGCCTCAAGGACCACACGTTCCCCCCTTTTAATGGAATTTTAATCTATCTTTTGAGCTGCCTGAAAGTGGTTTCTACGGAGTTTATAGCAAGAGGCAAAGGTGGTCAGCTTGGATTTGCAGCAGTTACTGTATAAATAATTTAAACAGCAATCCAGAGTCATATCAAAGAAATGTGACATGTTTACAGCTTTGCATATGAGAAAGCTAGATTTCCTACCAAGAAATCCCAGCAACTCTTTTGAGGTCTTCCTCCAAAGCATTTGTCACACAAATAAAACATCAAACATTATAGTAAGAAACAACAAAATGTCTATGGTCAATATTAAATGCAAGTAGACCATGAAATAATGTCAAATACCTCATTCACACCAACGGTGTTTCAGGGCCGGTTCGGAGCTGGAGCTTGAAAAGCACCAGGTTTTCCTGTTCACACCGCAGCGGAGCAGCCTCTTAGTTCCGGAATCCGATTCGTTTCAAGCACCAAAAAAATGTCCGGCTAGAGCAAAAGCACCGCATACGTCACACTTACGTCGAAGCGGGGGCAGGGGCGGGATCAACTCCAGAACAACAACAAAAAGCCCGCGTTTTATCCAATTTGTACACAACGATGGAGAAACTTAACAAGCAGCAGTGATCCACTGAAGAGACCAGCTACCTACTGGTCTTCCATTTCGTTTCGACAGAGCAAAACCAAAACGAGTAGCGCTTCAACACAATCGGCCATTGTTGTTGTTGTCGGTGTGAGCTGTGAGGGGTTTCCGCGCGGTTTGGCTTTATGAAGCAGGCACGCAAACGGTTACGTCATGACGCAAACGATGACGCAATGACGCAGCACCAGTCGGACTCTGGGCGGTGTGAAAAGAGCCGGAGCTAAACCGAAGAACCGGTTCTGAACCTGAAAAGCTCTAGCACGGAGATTGAACCGGAGTTGCGTTGGTGTGAATGAGGTAATAGTGGCAAAATGAAATGAAGTGTGATAAAACGCAACATTACCTAACTCTTGTGTCTCCTCCTCTGCTGCCCAGGGTCAGTGGGGAGTAAAGCACAAGGAGGCCCGCCTGGCTCCGGGGTGTACGGCAGCCCGGTGGGCCCCGTGGTCTCCCAGGGGTCCGGCTCCTACTCCCACAGCGCCGCAGCTACAACCACAGCCCAATACACCACAGATACCTCCAATGACTACAGCCAATACAACCAGGCCTACACACAGGTACAGAAACAGACTCAACAGAGAAACAAATGTAGAAATAGGATGTTTGATGGATGTTTGTGGGTCTGCTTCTGCACAATTGTGTTAAATGTGAGAGAGAGAGGGATGGTGGCTGAAAAGGTGATCGATAGATGGATACATAATGAGTGGATGGATGAGAGCAGTAGTGAAAGAGAGAGCTGTAAGTAGGGGACGCAAGGCGCTGGAAGAGATGAGAATGGATATGGATATTTGGACAGACAGTATGAGAGGATTTGGCACAGAGAGCTGTTTCACTCCATCTGTCCCTTTGTCTCTCTTAACACGCCACACTCATCCGTCATGTTGGTCTGCATCTCTTTCTCTCTGTCTTTCTTTTTTCTTTCTTTCACCTGTTTGTCTCAGCTCTCATCATCGTTATGCTTCCTCCAGCAGCAAGTGACATATCGGATATTTTCACAAAGGAGAAAACCACATTTTTGTTAATTACAATCCACTTATCCAAACAAATTCATCCTGATTAGATAACCAATAAAACGGTCAGTTTACTTTTGCTACTATGACGAGACAAAGACGAGTAATGGAGGAGAGCTGTTTGTAGGAATAATACTTTATAAGTTAGAAAGAAAGAATAAAATAAAAAGGGACGTAGAAATTAAGCAAAGACAAGAAAATCCCGAGCAAACATTAATCTGTCTTTGTGTCATAGGAGGCCATGCAGCAGTGGTACCAGCACTACCAAGCACAAGCTCAGAGCTACAGCGCCGCCGCTCAGCAGAACAACACGGCCACAGACTACAGCAAGGAGCACACACAGGTAACACACACGTATTTAACTGTGTGGGATGTACACAGGGTTCCTGCAGGTCCTTAAAACAGTTGTTAAAGGCATTCAATGCATCTACAAATATACAATAACGTCTCTCTTGTATTAAAATGTCTTATACAACCTTTAACATTTAAAAAAAAAAAAGGTCCTAAACCTAACTTGCCTGAAGCTGTAGTTTTATTTGTTACATTTTATTTCTCCAAAAACGTGTTGATTGGTTTGAAATCTTTAATTTTCAAATACACAACATTTGAGAAGCTGTTTAATTCAGATCACAGAGAACAGCAGGTGGTTATGGGAGCTCAGAATACTTTCTCAGAAATTGAAGAGATCTTCTTCCTCACTGGAAGTATATTAAAGCTCCCTCTAGCACTCAGTGGCTCTGTGATATTAAGTATGTTCTAAATTTAGAAGATTAGATATTCAGGGGGAGCTAACTCTGATAAGTTCTATAATAAGTGGCAATATTTCCGTACTCTTTTTCAACTCTCTTCAATCCCTATCCCTGGTTTGCTTTGTCTTCTTTTTTAGGGTTTGGACTTTAAATAGCATGTTAACACCTTAAAGATTCAGAAAGTAATGCCTGTTTTTATTATTTATAGTTGATGCACATCAATTCCTTTACTTACTAAAAACTTTGTACAATTACCATCTTCTGTCCCAGGCTCCTCCAGTGACCACCTATGGGGATTACAACTCCTACATGCAGGCTGTCACTCAGTACTACTCTCAGCCTGCTGCAGCCAGCCAGGCCTATGTCAGCAAGGTATACACACACACACACACACACACACACACACACACACACACACACACACACACACACACACACACACACACACACACACACACACACACACACACACACACACACACACACACACACACACACACACACACACACACACACACACACACACACACTCCCCTTCCCAAACAATACATGACCAGCAGAGCCCTCAAAATGTCTTGAAATCATGAGTAAATGTGATCTATAATACCTGACCAGCTCCATATAAACCAGAAGCTCTTTAAAACTAAGTCAAACAACATCCTGCCCAGTAGTGTAAATGATCTGAGCCGCGGCCATCAGAGGAGCATGCTGGTATTTACATGTTTGTCTTTGACCTCTCTCTAAGACACTGATAGCCTGTTAGAGGGAACACATCACTCTGCACCCAGCAGCTGATAGCAGACAAGACCCGGCTTATCTGCCGCTGTGGAGGCGGGCATGCTTGAAGACGCAGCCAGAGTTGCATTCTGGTCCATTGAGTGACTGTTGGTGGAGAAACAGATATCTCGGAGAAAATGACACGATGGGTTCCTGACATTATTACAGCTTTACACCATATGATAAAATGCAATTCCGGTGATCGCATTGCAATCGGATAGAGAGTGACCACATAAAAGTGAAGGTGAAAATGTGAGGACGGAATGTAATCCGATCAACCTCTGAAACAGGGTTTCTGTTAGCCGGCAATTAGCGGTTTTTAGCTGGTAAAATGTATTAAAAACCGGTAAATTCAAAACCTTCCGGTCAAAATGTCCGGTAATAATTAGGGATGCTCCGATCGATTGGCTGCCGATCATTATCGGCCGATATTCACTCTTAATAGTTTGATCGGTGCTCTCTATAAAGGCCGATCAGGAGAGCTGGATCTGATCGATATGGACATAAACGCGAGTGAAGTATAACCGGACGCGAGAGAGAGATCAGAGATCAGCTGCTGAGTCTGACAGAAACACGCAGCTCTGCATGATCACCTGAAGCGCCGCCCACTGTTTAGCGAGCTGCATGAGATACGGGGTGTTTCTCAATCGCGAGTACGCTTGCTTGCTTGGTAGCACATGTCTGCCGAGCATCTTGCTTCAGAAGCGAGGCAAGAATACTTCCTGCCATTCGGAAAACAAAGAGTGGAACACGCTAGCAAGTGTGCAGGTGTGCGTCATATGAGAGGCCCCGCCTTACATCTTCCGCCACAGATTTGGGGAAATTGGTCCGTGCGCAAAGCATTATGGGGATTTTAAGACCGCGAAGTCTACTCATGTGCAGCCTCGATATTTCTCCAAACGGAGTACGCCGGGCTCGGTAGATTTCCAAGTATGCTGGAGATTGGAACAGTACTTTGGCGGCACTCGATGACGTAGTATGCTTGAAATAGTGGCTCTGAAGCAGCTTTACTCGCGATTGAGAAACACCCACAGACGGGCTGTCAGGAGAGAGGGAGGGAGAGGATCCGTTTCTCCCGTGTTATTATCCAAAGTTAATGTAAACTTTTGAATAATGTACTTTATCTACTATAAGTAGTTTGTTTGAATGTAATAATTATGTTGTTTGTTGTTTGTGGAAGCGCATCATTTATTGAAGCAATATAAAAATGACTCCCATTAACTGAGTTTTAAACATCAGCATATCTGATCATAGTCCGGTAATTACCTGCTAACGGAAACTCTGCTACACAATTCTTATTATTATTATTGAAACATGACCGGTAAGTTTCAAATTTGTCCGGTAAAATAAATTCTTTCCGGACATTTTGCCATCTCTGATAGGGAATGCTGTATCTGTGGTTGCAGCTAATATATTAAGAGGCCCTATTACGCTTTTTGTTGGGTTTCCCTTTCCGGTAGTGTGTTATATAGGTTTTTGTGGTTGTAAGTGGTCAGCAAAAGCAGTTTTTGAACATTAAAGCATGTAACGTGTCACAGTAGAGCAGTGTTTCTCAAAGTGGGGGGCACGCCCCCCCTGGGGGGCGCAGAGGCATGATAGGGGGGGTGCCACAGACCAGGAGGAAAAAATGTTATGACAAAAAAGAAAAAGAAATTGGAAAAGAGAATTGTTATGACGTCAGCATGACCGGCGGAAGTTACACTTAGAAACCTTAGAAACCTATGAGGGCGCTGTAGGACACAGGTGTGTAATGTACATTTTGAGGATGGAAGGTCAATAGGCGGCGTCAGGGGGGCGCTAGGGGGTGCTGTAGGTCCCCCTAGGATAGCCATAGCACCCCCAAGAAATGTATGTCTTTTTTATTTTTATGTGTGAAATTCATAATTTGAAAAATGATTGATTCGAAAATAATATGCTACAGTACAAGTACGTCTGGGTCTCTGTGTTTCATTCAAGCTCGGCTCTGTGTGTGTGTGGAACGAGCCATTTTGTGTGCGTGCGCGAGCGAGAGAGAGGCCGTTTCTCAATGTCGAGTACACCTGCTGCAGAGCCACTATTATACGTCAAAGTGATTTTTTTTTTTTTTTTGAAAGGAATGCTCACATTCATATTGATGTATTTTAATAAATGTTAACTTGGCCCATTACGTGACTATTTGTGTTGGGGGGGCCCGACTTTTTTTTTTCTCCAAGACAGAAAAAGTTTGAGAACCACTGGTCTAAGCCAACAAATTACAAATATTATTATCTTTTATTACATGATATTAAATAAATCGGGTAACTTTATCTTAGTAAACATGAAGATTTAAGCCTACGTAATACATTAGTATTTTAATGACAAACTGACTGATACAGTATAAACCCTTGTAAAAGTAGTTAATCAGCTAAATGTTATTATTACATTTAATTATATTGTACCTCTAATTTGATTCCCTGCGCCTCCAATTCAGTCGCCAGTCCCCCATCCAGGATTAAAGGTCCGTTATTATCATTCATATAAAGTCTGAGACCAGCAGAGGAACCCATTCAAACGTTATTTAAGAGTCCCTGAAGTTATAACCTAGTCTTCTACCTTTTTAATTTGTTATTTTAATCCACTGCTTGCTTCATAAAACACAGTTATGTGGGAGAAATACTCAACGTGACTTTGACTGTTATTTTTGTTCCGGGTACAATAAAGAGGACAAAGGGTGCGTTTAAAGACGCAAAGACAAAGATTGTTGTGATTAGGTGCTCCACAACAGTACAATTGTTTGATTACTCATTTATTTGTTATTTTAATTATTTAATACTCTGTTATTTCTATCTGTTGCCTAGTGCAATTGTATATTGTAGAGTATTTAAATCTATTCAGTATTTTATTTGTATTGTGTACTGTTTAGATGCTCTAGTGATATATACTGTAAAGAGGTACAGTACAGCGCTGCACCATCAGTGTCTGATTTATTAAAACAACAACCTTGTAACTGAGAAACACTTAAATGCTACATTTCAAATGTTTACAATCCATCACTAAATTCATGGCAAACAAATTTTAACATCATGCAATAACACTAAGACGACATTAGTTGCATTGAACTGATCTTTTTAATAAGTTGTACTTACAATTTAGTGAGAAACATGTGCTTGTGCTTCACTGAGGATCTTTGTCATTCTGACAGGGAGGCAAACTGCAGTTATTACACTTTGCGTTTTGAAATATGTGTAACTCTGTTCATATAAAACCCACACTGCTCCAACTTCGTTACTTTTCCTAAAATTGGTATATTTATTTATTTATTTTGGGGCGTATAGGCCTACCTATAACCGCCAGACGGGATTTTGACCCCTCATATTTAAACATATGCATATTGTATAATGCTACGCTATACTTTGCGGCCACACTCCGTTGCCAAGCAACGGTTATTGTTTAGTTGTCCTTTGATAAGCAGGCAGTCATATAATTAACTAGCTAGATCTGATGGATTTGGACATAAACGCGAGTGAAGTATAACCGGACGCGAGAGAGAGAGATCAGCTGCTGATGGAGACACGCAGCAGCTGATCACCTGCAGCTCTGCCGCTGTGACGGACCGGGGAGCACTGCGGTCAAGCCAGCCTCCACTTCGGAAAACACAGTCAAGCCAGCCCGCACGTTGTATCCTATGCATTACGGTAGAGACCTGGAAAAACTGCTTCAAGATAAAAGCGCTTACTCGGTCAATAACAAATATACCTAAAAAACATACCAAACACATTCATATATACTGGAGCTTAAATTAAAAAATATGTACTATATAATGTTTAAAACTACTATACGTAGCCGAAGGACTGTTTAAATGCCCAGCATTCGGCGCCACTCGATGACGTATATACTTGAAATAGTGGCTCTGCAGCAGCTTTACTCGACATTGAGAAACGGCCATGGGCTATCGTCCTTCTGTTTTTAGATAAGAATAAATAAAAAACTGTCAATTATCAAAGACTAATTTCACTTCAGGGTGATAGCAGGACACCTTTTTTTCTAGTTTTAGCTGGTTTCCTTAAAAAAACAAGAAGCCCATGGCAACAACTTAGTGCAATTCTTTCTTTATTCTTGTCTTTATGATCACACATACAGCAAACACAGTGAAATTTAGACTCAGCCTCCTGTCCACTCCAAAGGTGGAATGCAAACTGGCACTTCTCCAGCTACCCTGTTCCTTTTTAGGGGATCCGAACCAGCAACAGACTGAGCTACTGCCGTCCAACAGGCATAACAGACATACATTAAAGGTCACATATTATGCTAAATGCACTTTTTCATGTCTTTTATACATAAATATGTGTCCCCTCAGAGTTAAAGGAGACATGATATGGCCATTTCCACTGATCATAATTCCATTGTTGAGGTCTACTAGAATAGATTTATATTGTGCAATTTTCCAAACTCACATTGGTTTCTCATACAGCATCTCTGTAAACTACGTGTATTCACTGAATCTCACTCTCTGCCTTTAACGGCTCGTTGTAGCTCCAATAGCTCCAGTGTGCTCTGATTGGTCGGGACGTTGTGAATCGCGCTGAGCTCCGTGGAGGTGTTATTTCCTTGTTTAGGATACATAGCGAAACACAGCCAAACTCATCCTGAGCACACACAAAGTCACAGCCAAAGTAAAAACAATAAGTGTGGCTTGATATTGAGTAAGAAAAAGGTTGATAAATGCTGTGAGAATGGGTCTGCAGAGAGAATTTCGCCGCGATCCTAACTGTCTGTTATCAGCCTGCAGCCAGGGAGGAGAAATCAGCTGAGCTGCCTGCTCTGTGTGTGTGTGTGTGTGTGTGTGTGTGTGAGGAAGTCCGTGGATTGGTCAATTTGGACCAATCAGCGGGGGCTTAATGTAACGGCTCCGCGGACGTAACGTAACGGCTCCACGGATTGGTCCATTTGGTTCCGGGTACCGCATGACCGTATCGCGTCATAGCTCTGGGCGTGGCTACTGGGTATCCAGACGTCACGATGCCCAGGAAGAACATGAGAAATCTCCAATGAGGCGTTTTGGGGAGGTCTTTTCTGTGTTAGAGTTTTACTCGCTACAGGGTGTACTTTGAGGGTTTTGACTCTGAACACCGTTTACATGCATAAAAACCTTCATAACACACAAGGGGACGGGTAATAACCAGAAAAGCATGACATGTCTCCTTTGAGAGATTTGGAAGGTTTCAGGAAGAATTACTCTCTCTCTTTTTGTCCTGATCCATTTATATAAAAACCTGTCTGAAAATAAGCTGATCAGATTTGGGCCACTTTGTGATGTCACAATTATTTTCACGGTTGTGCAACCATTAGCCAATATCCCTGAATCTCCTTCTAGAGCACCATCGTGTTTTTTTTTTTTTTAAACCAATCACTTCTCAGAGGGGCCCGAGGGGTTTATGGGATGCTACAATGCATGATCTGTTTGGTATTTCGTGCCAAACACTTCAGAGACATGTTGTATATATCTGAGACCTATAATATATTGTTAGAAAATAGTATAATAGGGAACCTTTAAGGCATATAAGTGAGCCAGACTGAATGTTTCATCTGTCGACATAAGTATGTCTTATATTAGCAGTAAGGAGACAAGAAAGGCACTTGTAGAGCTCAGTCCTCCACCAAGGCTGTATAACCGCCAGTGTAATTCCGATAACGTCTGAAATGTAGTCCGTAATCGCGCTGACAAACAAACAAAACAGAAAACAAACCCCTCTCGACAGAGATAATAAAAGAGTGCGAGTCAATTTTAGTTTTTATAAAACAGATCCTAAAATGAAAGTGCTTCAGGAAACATTGTCTTTATTGTGCTGTTTCTGACTTGTAGTCTCAAGACAGTCTGACGTTCAATATGTGTTTGTCTCTTCCAGGAGGTGGATGTGTGTAAGCCTCTAGGAGTGTCTCTGCACGCAGTCAGTAACGGCGCCCCCCCTCCCACGGCCGTCCTGCCAGCTGCTGCCGTGCTCCCTGCCTACAGCACCCTGCCTTTAATGCCCGGCTTCCTGGGGGCGCCACACCCTGCGGCCGCCGCACCCAGCCCCGTCACACACCCTGCAGCCCCCGACTGGAACACCTACTACTACGTGAGTATAGAAAATGCTCACTTAATACAGGATGAGACTCTTTAGGTACATATGTGAGCAGGGTTGGAAAGTTATAATTCTGAGGTACAATACTTCATAACTTGGATACTCACTACATTTCAAACTCAGGAATGAGTATTTTTGAACTGTGGTTTTGCAGCTTTTGCTCAAGTGAAATATATAAATATTTCTTCCTTACCTCTTCATCCATCACACTTGTAATAAAGGATGTGACATTTTAGTACCTCTGTGAGTGAAACTGGAGAAAACTCTTTTTTGGTTTTGCTTCTTTCTCTCTTCAGGGTTCTTTCTCACTTCAGGGTTTCCCCTATGACTGCTGATATTAGTGTGCAGTATTCGTTGTTGACAGTGGGTTGCTGGTGGATCACTGTTCAGCTCACTCATTTTCAGCAGAAAAAACACTACTGGGAGGATTTAGGTGTACTAAGCTTATCCTTAAACAAATGCCAAAGTAATATAAAACAGACACCTTTATGAATATGTATTTAATGAGTGGTCTGCAGGAGTCACAAAACTGTTGTTTAAATTTAAAAACCTAGTTATTGAAACTCATGTATAGTACAAGGATTACTGTTGTTGATTCACAATATAAGCAAACAGAAAAGTCAATGAAAGGATTTTCATGTGAAGCAGAGACAGGAAGTGTTTATTGCATTACCGGCTGTTGTAAATGCATTACTACCCGAATGATAAAACACTGACGAGGCTCTCAATCCGACTTGACTGCAGATAAAAGCAAGATACATTAGTGACAAACCTTGATGTATTTCCTTGTATTATAAGTCTATTGGAGTGCTCACAATCCTTTTGGTGCACACTGCTTTCCTTTAGGGTCAAATGCCACAATTTTAAGGAACAGCGGCCGCGGACAGTTTTTGTCTAGGTTGTTGCAATATAACCACATTACAGCCTTAAAACACAGCCACAGTCCTGAAAGTCTAAGGCCATGAAAGCTAATGAGAGAAGGAGAGGACTCAGAGAGAGAGGCAGAGAGAATCCAGACGCCTGAGCTAAGCCTCGTCTCTGGATAGATTTATATTTGTTTGTACAGACAGCTTCTGTGGCCCTCTCTCAGTGGAGAGAGCAACCTTTACACACAAACACAGGATGTGTGAATCTTTGTGAAATCCACAATATTATTTCTTTCTTTAGGCAAGACAAGGCAAGGCAAGTTTATTTATATAGCACCTTTCAACACATGGCAATTCAAAGTGCTTTACAAAAATGAAAGACATTAAAGGTGGGGTAGGTCATTTTGGAGAAACCAGCTCGAGTGCGCTAGAATTTGAAAATACACAGCCTGGAGAAAATCTGCCACTTCCTTACAGAGCCCCTCCTCCAACACACACGAACGCGCACATGACCAATGAGGGCACGAGATAAGTTTGTGCACAGATGGAAGGCTGACAGGCAGGTAGGCCATCCAGTTATTTTAGCCGGGCCGGCTAAAATGATTGGTCGTGCTTTTTACAGTACTACGGCTTCCATAGATGACATTTTTTTATGGATTTGTTGTCAAAGCACTTAAGATATTCATTGCTATCGGGATGTTAAGAGCATTCCATGGAATATAACAAAAAGTGTATCTCGAGCCGGTTTCTCAAACGTACCTACCCTACCTTTAAGAGCATTAAGAAACATTTTATAAAATGGCATTTAAAAACACTAATTTAAAAGCAAAGATAATAGTACTTTAGTTTAACTCCAGTTTGAGGTGTCAACCAATTTGATCAGGTACTCTGTCTAGACATTAAGACTCCCATATGTTTGACGAATCATTAATCAGCAAGAGAGTAAGTTAAATAAAAGGTCATAGTAACGTTTGTCTGAAAAATATAGTTACAAAAAAAAATTCAAAAAAGTTATTAAACACAAAACAAAAATAAATATACTATGACATTTTCTTTGATGTTGAAGAAAAAGTATTGAAGTTTGATGGCATTTTCTTTAAAATAATTACAATCCAACACACAACATGTGACATCCATCAGGCAGTGAAACAGCAGTAACATTGATCCTTTTAGACATTTAAATATTACAAAACAGAATGTCTTCACCCCTAACTCTTCCCTTTCTTCTAATTTCCGTCCCTTCAGAACCAGACACGGGGTCATAAGAGGGAGTACCCTCAGCTGGCGGTGCAGGAAGTGACAGCATCAGACGGCGCCTACATCGGGCAGCACTCCCAGGGCCTTGGAGGGCAGTACGCTGACTACTTTAAGAGGAAGAGGCTCTAAAATGAACCAAACCACCTTAAAGCCTAAAGCTTATGGAGGGAATCCGCTGGATGCCACAGCTCCCTCTAGTGGCCTTTCTGTGGCTGCCATTTTGCATCCCAACAGTAGGTATTGAGAATTAGGGGTTGCAAATGGCTCAAGTGAAAGTAAGCCATAGTGCTCTTCTTTGATCCTGGCACTTATGTACACACACACACACACACACACACACACACACACACACACACACACACACACACACACACACACACACACACACACACACACACACACACACACACACACACACACACACACACACACACACACACACACACACACACACACACACACACACACACACACACACACACACACACACACACACACACACACACACACACACACACACACACACACACACACACAGAAACACACACATAGCCACAAACACGGTGTTGCTTTTGTCCTGTTCAAGCCTTAACTTTACTCTTTAACTTAAACTGTTGTTTCTCAGTCAGTGTGTGAACTGTACTCAAATAATATTATCTTGTACATTTTTCTAATATAATGTAAACTAAAGTATACTATATCTGTACGTATAAGCTGCTTTTGTATCTGCAGCCAGCCGGCTGAAACTGTCAGGTGTCTCTCTCTCTCTCTCTCCGTCTGCTTTCAAACCCGCGCTTTGATCCGTCAGTCGAGCTCACATCTGTTTGTACCCGCTTCAGTGTCTTTTCTTTGTATTGCCCAGGTTTCCTCTTTTATATCTCCCCCCGCGGATATTAAGAGTGCGTGTGTTTATGCCTGTTGATATGCTGTTTCTGTAGGAAGTGTCAGCCATTTCAATCCCAAGGTTTGGGAGCACATCAGGAAAAAAGATCGAGGGCCTGATCCAATCAAGGCCCTTTGTTGTGGTGACTTTACAATAGCTTCCCTTATCGAATGGACCTTTCTTTATAAAGACTGGACAGAAAATAAAAGGCTGCTGTAAATACAGTGTGTAATACAGAATATATAAAGCCATGCGTAACAGACAATATTACAATAATAAACGTTTCCCAGCTCTTTTGAGCGTATTGTACGAATGACAGGAACACATTTACTGCGTGTACAACCTTTTTTTTTTAAATCTATACTGTTATATCTTTGTAATATAATATAATAATATTCCAAGGCAATTTATCAATATTGAATCAAATTGTGTTAAATGTATTTATCTGGTTTGGTTTTTAACATTAAGCCAAATATTAGAAGTCCTTTCTCTTCTATCTCTCTGTTGTAACAGATTGGGGTGTTTTTGGGAAGATCGGTCGGATTGTAACAGAAGCTTTACTTTCATTTCTAGCTGCAATTTGAATATTAAGCCTGCAAGTTTGTCCTAAATCAATACTGACTCAAAGCTGTTTTTTATTATGTAGTTTGCACTGTTAAAGTGCCAAAGGAAAGTATTTTAAAACCACTTAGTCTGTATTTGAAAAACACGCAAATTGAGCAGCTTTCCAAAGATTGGGGGGAAAAATCAAACAATTGGTTGATGGTTGTGAATCATCTCCAGAATTAAAACCAAACAAATCAATCTTTTGAAAAACATGAAGCTTCTGTGTATGATGGTGATATTCCAAATTTCCCGTCACTATCAAATATGTTTTTGTATATTGTTTGCCACAGTAAACATAAAAACACATAAAAACACATAGTATACAATAAATATTTATATATTCTTTTGGTATAGTGTGAGATTGGGACACATTTAATTTCGTTTTTGGGACTTTAGTATCAAACATTTGTAGCTCTTTTCTTGCTTTTTGCTCATCACATGCTACTATAACGAGCCACTGTGATATTTGGTTTAGTTTTTATCAATGGGCAGTTTTTGGTTTGTTTTTATAGAGAAAAAGCAACTATTACCTATGATCTTCCCATAGCTCATTTCTTTCTAACTGTTTTTCAAACCTAACAGATAATGTTTGTATGTATACTTTGTGAAAATAGACTAGTTAGATGCTTTGATTTGTTAGAGCAAAGGCTGTGAATTATACTCCATGTCCACAAGGTTTGATGTTGTTCATTTAGGAGAGGGCTTGGTATTTTAATATTACAGCATTGACATTAGCTTTTCTTTTATGTGCACAAACCGGCAATAACTAAGGCTCCTTCTACTGTAGAAAGTTGAATGTAAAATGTACATTTTTCAAAATTCCTCACACAGTATTAAACTCCTACGTAATGGTAACAGCTTTCTTTCCCTGTTTGTATGTGTTTTCGTATTCTGCTCTTATCTGATTATATATCACAGAGAAGAGTGCTACTTGCATCGTCATGGCAACAACGCTCACACACTGTGAAAGCCAATAGCAGGTGAGATCAGATAATGCCAATACATCAGGATAGTCCAGATACGATGACTGGCTATAACAGGAAGTGTGTGATGTACGCACGGACACAACGGTTATTGTATCCGTGTTGGTGCTCTGGGCAGGTTTTTATTAAGAACTAATAAAACAGCTTAACATTCAACTAAAGGTGAATACATATTCCTCTATTATTTGAATCTTTGTCGAGTCTTGCTGTCAATTTGACCTAAAAGTGTTTCATTGTTTGTTTTAAGTTTCTAGAGAACCCTTTTAACATGAAACTGTGATATATTTTGAAGCCTGCATCCATATCATATTTTATGGAGGATATGGACAGAAGGAGGGAAGAATTTCAATGCGCCAAGAGTGAGACATTTTATTTATTCAGCTATAATATAAATACAGACAGACAGAGAATCAGCTCCCGATCAACGCCTCTGTGTGCTCATGTTTAGCACAATGGATTTTGTCACCTCTTTTGCATTCAATGCCTCTCGTCCCTTTTTTTTATTATTTAGAAGTCTTAATGGAGGATATACAAAAACTAGAATTTACCCATTTTTTTGACAGTCATTTTCATACATTGTCATTTCCTATTTTCCCCCTCATACCATTCTTTCATCAGTGTGAGCAGCCAGCTGGACTCCAGGTGATGGCGCTCACCTTCTCCTCTCTAGAAGAGATATCAATGTGTGTGTGTGTTATCACCAGAGATGTGTGTGTGTTGGTGATTCCGCTGCCTCAGCTGTTCACATCCACAGGGTCTGTCTGTCTGCTCGCCTGCTTCAGTCTCTCTTCTTTTTTTTGTTGGTGTCAGCTTTTTCTCTGCATACTGTGTGTATTTCTGTATGCACAGAATGCAGAAACTCAGATGAAGTGCAAAAGTACATATTCCTCAAAAAGAAATAGGGAAGAGGTTTTTGAGTGTGTGAGGACAGAATCAGGATTGCCACAAGGAAGAATACTTGGAGAAAGGTCGCTTGACTTGAATGTAGTGCTTTCTTTAAATAGATTTAAGGCATCACCACTCATCAGATTTCGACACACATTGAGAGCAGATCTGAGTGAGTCAAGTGTCACTGTTGAGTCTGTTTTTACTTCCTAGTGTTTTCCACCTTCTTTTACATTAACCAAAATCATTTTCAGGTACAGAAAACTTAAAAAGTGTTGAAAAAAAACATGTGATTATGTTAACCTTACAATCAATCAAGCAACCCATTCAGACTGATGATCACGGATATTGGTGAGCTTTGTTACATTACATTTCATTTAGCTGACACTTTTATCCAAAGCGACTTACAATTACATTCTCCCTGGAGTAACTAAGGGCTAAGTGCCAAGTACTCAAGGGCACACTAGTGGTGGTGTTCCTGGCGGGATTTGAACTCACAACCTTCCGATCTTCAGCCCACCTCACTATCCATTAGACCACCACTACCCTTTGTAAATTACAACTATGAAGAACTACTTTCCTGTTACAGCTTTTATCTGGTGTCCTGTTAGGTTGAGTAAGGCTCTGCGGCATCTTTAGGTTGTTTACAGTGAATCTTTCAAGTTGTAATGGGAATCTTTTGTTACACTACACAAAATTGACCTGGTGTTGCCATAACAACCATACAGTTAGTTATGTGTGACCTTGAGGATGTTTACGAGTCATATAGATTTTATCCTCATCCTGTCGTCTGGATGGTTCTTTGACATGTTGCTTCTAGTTTTCTGTACCATTTCACAAAGGTGTAACAGCCAGCAATGTGTGTGTGACCTGCAAACATTTTCAGGTTAACAGATTGTCATCTTTTATTCTGCCAAGCAGTTTGATATTTGATTCTACACGAAATATCTGTTCAGAAAATCCGACCTTGTGTCTGCTCTCAAATCTTTACTTTCGCATTGATTGAAGCTTCTTTTTGTTGTGCGTTCACTCAACACAGTTTTGCAGATGACGAGTGTCAAAGCGGTGTTGGAATCAGTAAATGCAGGCGTGTTTGTTTCTGTGGGTGTGAATCTCTAAAAATGTAGTTTTAGCAGGTGATGGGGGTGAGGAGAGAGGCTGTAAAAAGAGAGGAAACGAAAACAACTCCAGCTGCTCCGCCTGCAGGGATTTAGATCTTACTTTTCAATGTTGTGGCTTTCTCTCCTTCTGTCTGTACACTCAGTGTTTTTATGTCTGCCAGACTCCTGTGGAGCTGTCACACTCCAACACACAGGAAATGTCTCCTGGTATTTCTGTTAGCTGGACTTTCACACTACTTTACCTGGTGTGATCCAAATCTATATGAATGCATTTTGTGCTTCTTACCATACCTCCCGTAGAGTAAATGGCCCTCCTCACAGTTTGCATTTTCCATGAAGGCCAAATGACAAGCATCAACTACCCATAATTGTACACTCACATTCAGAAGGTCACAGTTGGAATCGAGCCTCCGAAACTGTCCGTCACAGGATCTGCAAATGTCTCCGTTTAGTGCAGAGTCATCCTGCTAAATCTGCACATCTGTTTTCTGCCCAGAGCCCATTTGACTTGAATGAGGATGTACATTTCAAAGACTGCTCAAAAAAACCTCTAATTCTTCTAATTTTGCATGGTTTTTTAGTTTTTATCAAACGGCACACAAGTATGAGTTACTGTACTAATAATGCATTTGTTTGGGACTATTTTCAGATGTGCAGTGTCATTATGAATGCATACGTAATGCAGATTGCCCAGTGATATGTCTTTTAATGTTTTTAAAGAACAATAGTGCTCTATAACACAGAAAAACGATCTTTTAATATAAAAACAGAACTTGTTAGACGAACCAATAATATGTGGCTCTTGGTCTTTTCATGGCATTTCTTAATATTAAGAAACATCTGGAATATTATCCTTTAGGTTATCCTTTAAATGAACTTGTA